TTCAAAACCATTAAGACAGAACATGTTTAGTTGATTTGGACCAATCCGGATGGAAGAAAATTAGTGGAGGAAATTAAGGATATTGGTGTAGTAAGAAATGAAGATGTAGCTGGAAGATACCTTACGCATTGGGATAAAATAGAAGTAGTCATTTATTTTCTGTTGTTTCGTGCTGATTTGTGAAATTCTTTGACTTGGTTGTTTATTCTCTTATTATCCTCTCTCTCTCTCCCTTTTTAGTCTTTTTCCCTCATTGAGGAATCAGATTTCAAAGGTGAGATTAAAACAGATTTCTTTCACGTCTTATTTATAAATCATTTTATTAACCAAATAGTGCCCTTGTTACTTTTAAAACCTTTCTCAATAATTTTTCTCTCTCTATCACACTTCACACTATACCGTGGTAGTTCTTTCTTTTCATATCATCCTCGTTCCTACATCCAGGTCCGTCTTGAGTTTAGCACTTGTGTTTTTGTTGTCAGCTAGTTGTCTTGTCAACAACAGGCTGAACATTTATCTTTACCTTTTTAAAAGGTTTTCTGTCTCATATTTACAGCGTCGAGCTTGTAATCACCATTTTCTTACACATTATGCACAAAAAGATGGTGAATAACTTTTGTCTTTGGGCCAGACAAAGATCTTTGGTAGGGAAAGGTGTAGACAGATTGCAAGGAATCTCCCTGAAAAAGCTCTTACCCTCAGCCAATAGAACCTGCAAGTTTGAGGTAAGTCCCTTGCTTGCACTACTTGCTCAGGGTGAGCGTGGGACTTTGTTAAGTTTAGAGAACTTCATATTTTGAAAGAGATTTTGAAGAGAAAATCTTTGAACCCTGATTCTTGTACAGAAGAACTGTGATTCTGATGTATCTTGAGCTTTGGAGTTTGCTCCATTTCAAAATGATAGGCAGGCCCATCCCTACTCATCCATACTTCCTTCTGTACATATGTGTACAAGAATCAATGTTCATCTGTACAAAAATCACAGTTCCAAATCCTCGCTTCCAAATATCTTTCAAAATGTTTGAACACACCTACTGTCTTCCTTGATGGAATGAGTCTTGCACAAAAATAAGCCCTTGGATTTTCACTGACTCCTTTGTAGAGTTCAGGTGATATAAGGCCGGGAGGTTTGCGCCCAGGTTGGTATTTACATAATTTGGTACCCTCACCTGGGTTTTCCGCAAATTCTTCCGCAATACACTCACTCACATCTATCGCGCTTTACTGGTCGTGAGGTCAGTCAGTCATCCTCTTTTGACTCAAATTGGTCTTAATCCAATCAAGATGCCCTTTTTTTCTTTATCTGATCAATAACCCCCCTTTGATGAGCTCACATGGACATGGAACATACTTGTGTCATGGGAACATCCATCATGGTCAAAAGTATATAAGCGCACTTTGACTGGCATGGCAGAGTTCTTCCCTTTCTTAGTTTCCTCCCCCCACAAATATGCAAGCCTCTGTTGCAAAGACACCTATGATATGATTCCACTACACCTCTATCTATATTTGAATAATCACTGTGCTTCACTGTCCATCTTTTTTCAGTCTTGGCCCAATAACCTCCAGCCTTGAATCCACATGATCACCTCACCCTTTGATTCTTCCCAGCTCAGCACCCTCATACACAGGTAGGTATTTTCATATCTCAATTTGAAGCCACGATTTATGAGTTGAGATGGATCCAGTGGAGGGTGGTCAAATGGCATAGATAATTTTTGCACAAGTTGGAATACATTTGACCACCCAAGGCATCCACCTTCTCAACTTGTACGATCCTACTCAATTTACTAACTTTATTTTTGCTGGGGTGCTGATGTAAATATACCTCTTCACTCCCCTCTTCCATCAGTTGTTGCCTCATAACATTAACATCTGCCCTTGAAATCCGCATCACCTCATGATTTTGCATAGTTTTGTCTATTCAGTTCTCCTCTCCTCCATTGGTTCTTCTACACTCACACCCTTATAGACAGGTAAATATCTTTGGATCTCAATTTGAAGCCAAGATTTACAAGTAAAGATGGATATAGTGGAGAGTGGTTGGTCAAATGGCATGGATAATCTTTGCACAATCTGAAATACATTTGACCATCCAAGGCATTGGCCTTCGCAATGTGTACGCTCGCACACAACTTAATGACTTTGTATTGGCTGGGGTACCAATGTCCTTATAATTTTGTCCCTCCCCTATGTGCATAGACGTAACGGCCCTTGTTTCACGCAATGCCAACCAATATCAAGGATGGGTGGACCCAGTGTGTAAGGAAGAAATTTCCGAATAATTTACCTCAGAGAGATTGGTAAGTAATCTATCCCCCAAAGCCCATTCTGGTACCAGACACTGCCAGCATTAAAGAGGTTCCTTGATGGGAATTAGCACTAGGCTGGGAAAATTTTTGAGAGTAGGATGGGTCATGAAACCATCTCGCAGTGGCCATCCGAGGAATAAAGCATATGTTACATATGTGCAAACATCTGAGTGAATACTTAGCTATCATCTACATATAGTGCCGCTCAGTCACCTGCTCATCTGGTTGAGAAATTCACATGTAATATTTTTGTAAAGACACAAGTTGAATAGCTCAAATGAGCTGGTGGTGTTGCCAAAAATGAAGATATCCTGGGGTAATCAGGTAAAGCGTAAGTCAGGGCAACAGGCCACAAAAGCTACGAAAGCTATTCAAAACGTGACAAACCTGTGCACAAGCAACAGGATCACAAATCAAGTGAGAGGTTAATGAGAAAAAGCAGCAAATACTAGATGATGTAAAAGAAGGCTTTTAGTTAGACTATTTGTTGGAGAAAAAGAGTATAGTGAAATAGCTTACAGATTCTTTTCGATAAGGAAAAGAATCTGGGTGCAAACAACTGCTACTATATATATAAAAATGAGAACAAAAAGATAGAGACACTATTACTAATCACGAACAAAAGAGATACTCAAGTCACACACAACTTATTCCCAAAACAGACAAAATAAGCTCATTTGATTCCTTTGCACTTTCTCATAACTCATCTTCATCTTGATTCATACATAACTTCATTAAGTTAATCTTTCTTCAATTTCAATAACCGCTTTTCTTCAACAACACTACACCGGAAGTCCTTGACCCAATCAATCCAAAAATAGAGCATGACAAACAGGTCTAGACCAACTAGCTAATTACCACAACAATTTTCTGTAACTTTGTTACAATTGCAACACACAGCCCAAAAAATTGACTACATATATCACAATGGCTACTGAGGAATACTTATGGAGATATTTAGCAGTAAAAAATGGGGAATCTGGTTCCTGGGACCCATATTCCCACCTGGGAGTCTCTTTAATGCTGGCAGTGAAAGGATCCTGATTTTTCACTTTTCATATCCTTTTATACAGATATCAAGCCCCAACTCCTTCGCATTCCATGCCACCTCTTGCCCAGGCTTATCAGTCCTGGGCAGCACTGATCTTGCCTCCCTCAATGTGAGTATCAGTTGTACTATCGCTATCTGTACTCTTGAGCCTTTTTCCAAACCAATATCCTGAGAATTTCTTGAAAACCTTGCTTAGGCCTCAATCAGATGGACCGGATTTACCCAGGACGCCCAACAATGACAAGGGGAAGCTTACTGCATATGGTATCCCATTGACTCAGTCAGTCGGAAAACTGTCACAAAGGCCAAGGGTTTTAGGCTTGAGAGTGGGCGGTTTGTTTTCCCTGAAGATCAAATCACTTTCAATTTTGGTTTGAACAGTGTTGAGCAACTATGTTGGGGTTGGAAAATTACTTTCTGTCAGACTCTTCCCTCCAAGGAGATCAAGATTAGAACCAAGATTACAACATATGATGTTGAGGCTGTTCACTATACAGGCTAAGGCTTTTCATCCCAAATCACTCGCGCTGCCCTGAAAAACGGAACAGAAGAACAATATAATTTCAAGTCTAATTCCAGGTGTAAGCTATGGGACTGTGATGACATATCAAAAGACACAAATAGACCAGAGGTTGACCACCCAAGCAGGTTGGAGGCCTTTTGCTGTTGCACAATATCTCAATCATCTCAATCAGGTCGGCTTGTCCTTTTGGTTTACCTCTTCATCATGTATTTCCTCCTGTTTTTTCTCTTTTGCTTGTGCGTAGTAAGTTAAACATTGTTTGATTCCATAATTCTTGCTTTATGGGGTCCTTATGGTCCTTGGTAGTCCTCCACACATGTGAATCTACATGAATTACAATTGCACATGATGCCTATTATCTTTCTCCCTCAGCTGCATCGGTCTACACATTTATAGTTGCTTCACCGGTGTTTTTGAATTTGGGGCGTGACTGAATGACGGCATGACAATGCCACCATTTGTTCCGAATTGCGCTCATCCAACATCATCTGCTTGTGACTCCACACTTTCAAAAAAACCATCCACTGCTCGCCTTTCAAGCACCCACTACCAATTCTCCTACAATTTCCCTTCCTGATCATATTCTTCATCCTTCATCCTTTGACCTTGACTCTGCTTGTCCTTGGTTACCTTTCACCACACCTCTCTACACTGTCTCCTCGCCACATTCTCCTCACCAATGTTTTACTGAACTTACCCGCAATGTTATTGTGAAGGCGTATCATGAATCTCAAAGATACATCCTACAAATCAATCAGGGCAACTATGGTCACTTTCTGAAACAAAAGGAAGTCCAAGCAAAGTGGGTTTCAATCCAAGAAGCAACACTTGGCAAACAAATAGAAACCAAAATTTCAATAAATAAAGATTTCATTCTGATTACTGAATTTGAAGATGGAAGCAATCCCATTGCAATAGTGAACATGTCAATCCACCCTTCAGAAGTAGGTCTACGTCGTTTTTTTGCATCTGTAAATCAGTGTTAGCCAAAATTGAATCATTCTTTCCACATACAACAGTCAAATCTAAATTCTTAATGATCAATTCATCTAAATCTTTAATTTGTGCTGATTTTCTTATGATTTGTACTAAATCATTATTTCTTGGTAATAATTCAATCTAATCTACAATCTATTGAAATGAAAAACCCAATAAAAAAAACAAGAAAACAGTAAGGTCAGCAACGGGTTTCTTTTCCTGATGAAGTACTTATGGGAAAAAAAAATAAGGAGATATTCAAGACTTACTCCTCACCCTTGTTCATTCCTTCCTTTTTCACGTAAATTCAAAATCGTTTTTGACTTCAACGATAACTCACAAGTATCTCCATTCTTTTTTGAAATCTTACAAGAAATCGAATAAGTTCGATCATAATGATCCAAAATATTCTTAGCAACGACCAAAATATTTTTGGAAGCAGTCAAAGAAATTGTTACACCTTTTGGATTGTGCATTGATACATCTTCAATATGTTAGAAACATGGATTGGTTGGGATTATGAATTCCCTAATTTGATGTTGAATATAAAATTATTCAAGATTAGCTTAATGTGTAAACCATTTTTCTAAGAAGATGATTATTTAATTACTCACTTGGATGTCCTTCTAAAGCTGGAACCGTATCAGACATTCCAAGTAAACTATAATAAGCCAAAGCAATAGCAAAATGAACAGCATCAAGTTGATAATTATGTGTTTGTTGAAGGAAAAGAATAGCCTATTTCCAAAAAAATCAAAGTAAGATTTACTAATTCACTTTCACATAAACTTGTATCTTTTATTCAAAACAACTTACTTTTTCAAATTGACCACTCATAAGTAAAACTGTAGAATAGCTGAATGGTCTATTTCCATTCGGATCGAAATCACTTTCACCATACTTAGTGATGCAACATCATCTAATCTGTATATATCAAAACTAGAAGGATGATTACTATTATTGAAATTCAAATGATCAATCACTTGAATTCTCAGCCGTACTATGATCATCAGCTGTTTATTTCTGGTACAAATAGATTAGGCTATCATTTGATCCAATTGAACTTTGAGTTAGCGGAACAGCTTTGATGACTTGGCATAATAATCTTGTAGAAGAGGTGACTTATCCTACGTTCGTCAAATTCTTTAATTCAAAGAATTGAGACTTCGGACGGTTTTTGATACGATCCAAGAATCTAGACATGAAATGAAATAGCAAGAGTTAGAATAAAAAAAAGTTCAAGGGAGAAAAAGAAACTTGTTGTTGTTGTAGATGAACTCTAGCACCTTCAGCTAATTTTTTTTGTGAGTTTTTAGCTTTCACACTTTGTGGATCAACAAGATAAGTTTCAAAATTTTCGTGCTTGTGAAACTGAAGTGAATCTAATCTCACCAGTTAATTGGGTACCTTGTTGATTGATTAAATCTGAATTAGGTTTGTGTACGGTTTGTTTTCATAAACTCCATGTATCAATCAAAGATTTATGTTGATTATTTTTAGTATTCAAATTTTGTGAATGGTTATGGATCAAATTTGAACTGAAAAACATATTGCCATCAGATGATGATGGTTGATATCAACCTAATTCTTCAAGTAAGATTTCTTCTTGTTGTTCGCAATTTTTGTCACAAAGATTTACCAAATCATTGATAATGTTTTGTACAGTTTGTCTTCCAATTTCATCATTTGATGCAATGATTGATTATCCATGTTCATGTTTTAAGTATTCCTCTTATTTGACCACCAAAAAAACACGTCAAAAAACTGAAAATTAGTGATTCAAGCTATGATATCAACAGGAGAAGTTTGAAAAAGCAAGAATCTCACCCAACATCCGTATCTTGTAGTGGTTGTAGTGGTTTAAATGTACCTCTTGAATCAACTGCATCAATTGTTCTACCTAATCCATCCGCATGAAGACCATCACAAGCTAATAAAAAATCAGCTATAGAAATAGCTCCTTGACCATTAATCAAACCAATCGGACTTGACTCTTTGCTATAAGGATTGATTTGATTGTTAAGATGATTTGAATCAAATGGGAATTTTTGATTTGAAATTAATCTTCTTAATTGAGATTTGATTTGATCTAAACTTAGTCAGTATGAAGTGAACCCAAAAGACCCATACCAGAAGAAGGAGAAGAAGAAGTGGTATATTATATTAATTTGAAAAAGAAAATGGATGATGAGGATTAGCTGAGTTTGCTATCCCACCTTGTAATTGTCTTGAATGATCTAATAATTGCTTCAATGATTCTGATACTGATCCATTAGGTGGTTTTGAATATGGTGTAGTTAATCTGAATCAGTTGGGCAATGGTGAATTAAAAGTTGATGGGTTTGTACTATTTCTTTGTTGTTGTTGAGTTGAAAAGTAAGTTTTGATCGAATATCAACTACATATTGCTGATTTTCATCTTGACCTGTCACTAATGTGTCACTATCTCCCATCTTTGTGCCTCTCTGAGCTTTCTTTTCCTTGTCTCATTCAAACTTATTTCCATTCTCTCCATGACCAGTTGCTGCTTGTTCTGCTTTTTCATTGCGTATTTACCATTAGTTCTATAGTGGTGTCCCGGTTGGGTGACCAAAGACCTCCTGGAAAAGTGCCATAGTTTGCGTGTAGAGGGTTATGGTGTACTTATATTTTTTTCTGTTTTGATATATTGTCTTCGTTGTCTCTATCTTAGTTTCTCTTTCTTTATCAAAATTATTATTATCTTCCTTTCCTTTTGGAAATTTACTGCCCTTTACTAAGACCAGACCAGGATGGGTTTAATTGTCTATAGCTATTCCAGGAATTAATCTCATCCCTCATCCATTTTTTATCTTTTTATTTTTCAGCCGGATGATTGCTGTGAAGGTTCATGTATGTACAATATAACTCTGTAAAGTATACAAATGAACAATATGTCTTTCTCACTTTGCCATGCCTAGCTTTGTATACAGTAGACTCTGACATAACCAATACCCAAAAAATTGTACTCAAAACTATTGGTTGTCTTTGTTTGTTTTATTGCTCGATTCTAATGATTTTTAATCAAGAAAGAACCTTTTTTTCTTGTATTTTTTTTCAAGGTTTCCCTCTTTCAATAACAAAAAGTCTGTATGAGAATAGAAGAAAAAGAAAACAAAACGAAGCCGAAATAAAATGATTATCATAGTCTTCCTTAATTTATAAAGCCGTAAAACATATATTTAAAGGATTAATCACTTTGGGATCAAGCTTCTTGAGGATTGAGCAACCCTAAAAAGACACATTGCGACTCGGGGAACACATGGCTCATGTTTCTCTTCTTGAACCGCCCTAATTGTTGATTTGAATCTCATCTCTTACATAATGGATAGTTCTTTCATTGGAGAAGGGAAAGGTATATTTGTTCTTTCATTGGAGAAGGGAAAGGTATATTTGTTCTTTCATTGGAGAAGGGAAAGGTATATTTCCAGACTGAAAGATAAGAGAACCACTGCAAAATCAAACTCAATGACTAGATATCAAGGTTTTCAAGCAAGAGAATTAAAAATCAAAACTCATAGAGGATGAAGTTTTATCTGCTAAAGCAGTAACCAGTGCATTATCCCTCAAAAGCAAAGTTTTACAAGAACTCTTAAAACAACCTGATTTGGCTAATTGAGCTGCATGATTAGCTTATTTTTGTAAAAATCAATGAAACTCTCATATCAGGCAACAAAACAAAACCGAGAAGAAGATATATTAGTAAACCATAATCATCGGTTTAGACAAATAAAAGAATTTGACTGACCAAAGAATTGACACCTTTGTTGAAATTGCTTCGAATCTTTTTTTAACAAATCAATCGGAATTTAAGAGAGTGTAAAAGAAAACTAGTTTCATATTTTTCACAAAGAGTACGATCATAATATGTAAAATGAATAGAAGAGAACAAAGAATGGCAAGTTGTTTTGAAAAGAGATTCATCAATTTTTTGATGTGATGGAAGCAAAATTGTGGGTGCCAAGCAAAGTATTCAAAGATGAAAAATAACAATGAATGAAACTTGCTAACCTCAGAATAAAAAAAAATCGGCAAAGTCGAGGTTACCTAGGGATAAAGAGCCAATCTGAGCTAATAAGTAGAGAATCAAGTCCAGTAATCCGGAGGTCAAGGGTAACTACATGAAAGGAGAACCAAGCTATAAGAAGTAATATTACCCCTTACACTCAAGAATTCCTCGCTTCCGTATTTGCGTGCACCAGGCCTCTTGCCACTATTTCTCTCAAACAGTCAGTCAGCCACACGATCTGCTCAAGGACTTCCCTGGATTGCTAAAGCTGAAGATGTCACCCTTTTGGGATAACCAAAATGTCACTGCCACACTTTGACTTGTAATTCGATAAAAACCGTTGAACTCCAAGTCTAAATTCCTGGAAGCTTACAGTCCAAAGCACCAATTCAAATCTTGCAAGGAAATCATGCATTGAGTTTCCGAGCTACCCTTTGAAAAGTTCTGCAGCTTTAACACCAGCCTTAGCGGCTTTGATTTTGATTTTGCTTTTTCTTTGTTTTGGGAATAGAAGTATCTCTTTATTTTTTATCACTAATCCTTTACTTTTATTAAGTTTTCAACCTTTATCGACATCAGTATTTGCTTTTACTTAGGGTTATATAATTGCTATCTCTACAAAATATTCATCCTGAATTGATTGAGAACTTAACTTCAATATTTCATTAGATAACTAGCATAGCAATAGTAATCTACTTAGTTGAGTAACTTCTTCAAAACTTATCAAACTTAGACTGACTATTTTCCTTGCCAGGATTAGGACTCGTCCAAATGGCCAATTTACCTATCAAAGCAACTCTTTCATTCAAAGGTTTTTGGTTGTTTGGCATAGACTATCAACAAGTACTGAGTTTGAACCATCCAATGACGGTGATATTTGGAGAGTTGCGGCACTGGCAAGACTGTAAGTACAATACTTATACTCATATTCCTTAGGTTTCAGTTTCTGATAATTCTAACATATAATTTTATATTCATTATACCATATATACATATAGACGATTGTAGAGATATTGAAATTTCTTCTAACAGGTAAAATTAATACAAAAAATTCATACAAGGCCCTTGTGGATAGATTTGAGAAGGGTGACAGTTTTGAAAAAACAGCTACAGCAGAGATTAACTATGAATGTCACTGCAGACATTATTCGGGTTCTCCAAGTGGGCAGGGAAAAATGATTGGGAGTATGATTTGTCATAAAATGGTCTATCACTCCACACCTGAGCCATAACACCCACACTACATATGTGTAGCAGGCTCAGTGAATATGTGGTTATCATGTACATACAGTTCTGCTCAGTTATCTGCTCATCAGGACAAGTTATTCATATGTAATACATGCTGTAACTTCTTTCAGATTGAAAAAAGCTTCCAAAAGATTGACTACATACACTGACTCAATGTTTTGGTGTGATCTCATCAACTCAACTGCATGTAACACACTTTCTGTTACTAAGACATAGCTTCAACAATATTGCCTGAGCAGCTACAGAATTATATGTAGTGAATTTTTGGGAAAAAAAATTCAAAGTCGAAAAAGTTACATGTGGTATAACATGTGATTTATTTATTCTGATGGGCAAAAAACTGAGCAGACCTGTATGTACATGATAGACAACTATTGACTTAGCTTGCTGCACATATGTAGTGTGGGTGAAATGGCCCAGGTGTGCAGTATTAGATTCTTTTATGAAAAACTGTACTATTAATCATTTTCCTCTGCCAAATTGGGGAAGTTGAATGATGTTTACAGTGTGTGGTACAGTCTCTTTGAAGAGAAATGGTACTATCAAAGCAAGAGATACTCCCAAAGGAATCAAGGTTTGTTGACGCCTGTCAAATCAAAGATTGAAATACTTACTGTGGTAGGTTGTAAATCATGAATTGGGAATCAATGGGTTAGGTTTGAATCATCAGATTGAAAAGGATCAACTTCCTGAGCTACAAGAGCTCCGTAGTCTTGAGGCATACCTAAAGGAATCTAAAGTTAATACTTTCATGGTAGATCATATTTTTATTTGTCCTTCAAATCATTTAAATTGGCCTTTTGAGAAGAGTGGTTTAGTTCTTAAAAGGCAAGTAGCTGTATATTTTCTCTGGTGGCTTCTATCGTAATTGGACTGTTCTCTGAAGTAGTTTCAATCAAATTTTCAAATTAAATAAGTAAGAAAAAGATTTTTCAATGCGACTCATTCTCTCACTACAATTGATATTTGGCTTTTTGATGAAAGGAATGTGCAGTGTGTTTCTAGTCTCAAAAGATCCTTGCAGAAAGCCATAAATATCAGCAGATATGGAAACCAGCCAAAGAAAAGGGAGAAGTTCTTACAAAAGACAAAAAGATTGAAGGAGAACCAAAATTCAATGGTAGACATATTGAACAATAATGTCAAAAGCCTTCAAAGCAAAGAAATACTTGCCTTTGGAGGTTTGTCATCTAACTTTCTTTTCAGAAATTTTCATATCTCTTCTTCTTTAAAATAATTACTTCTCTTACCCTTTTTCCACACTATTCCGGTCCTTGATCTTGATATAGTTCTTCCCCTCATATGTGTAAAATTGCATGCTGAGGATGAGAATGCATTTTCTAAATATAGGGTTAGTACTTCCCACCTTATATAATAGATCTTGAGTTGTAGATATACGTTTGATTTTGCTTCCAACAGGTTACCATGGGTGAAGATACAACAATGAGTCAGTAGGCTAGTGATAGTGAAATTTTTTTGGCATCAATGGTAATTCGCTTGGCATTGTCACTCATGACTACAGAAAATTTCCCAATGATACTGGATGACCTTACTCATGGATTGAATGATGATGATGCTCTTCACATTGCCTCACATTTGATCCATAGATGAATCACAATCTTTCACTCTGATATATCCTCTGTGAAGTTTTCAGTCATATTTATTGAGTTTGATCCTATAGATTTAATGTCATGAAGAAAGAGAAAATGAAGATATCTCAGCTTGTAGTAACTGTAAGTATCTTTCTCTTCTCTATCTATATGGTCATTTTAATTTGGCTTGAATTTGAAGACTGGAAGTGAGAAGTTCCTAAAACAGCTCAATCTAGATGCGAAATTTACGTGAGCTTGATTCATACCTTCAATAGTATTTTGAATGATAACTGATATGATTGAATTTGGAAAGGAAACTTCTAGCTTCCGGCTTTGGTAAAACATCAATTGATAATATATAAGTCCAATGATTCTTGAATTTGATAGTATTCATACACATATTTTCAGAATATATTGAAGCCATATTCATTTTGTTAAAGTAGTCTATGCTTTTGAAAAACTAGTCTGCTTTAGAAATTTTGTTTCAAGATGCTTACTTAGATTTCAACTTTACTTTATTCTTATATTATATTATATTATGTTATCTTGTACAAATATCCTATTTTTTCCATTCCTATTTAAGTAA